TTCCTGGGAGGAGAAGCTGAGGATTGTGCTCTCACATCCATGTGGTACCATCCCGACCATTGTCAGTACTGATGTGGAATAACCATGGCAGGAGTGGCTTTGGGCACCCAGTTTGAATTCCAGCAGGGGMAGGACTTTGCTGTCCCTCCTGAGGAAGGGCAGAGGAGCAGGAAAGGGAAGCTGGATGAGTCCCAGAGGGAATGGCCCATGGTTTTCCCCGTCACTCAACACCCACTTGGGTGGATGCAGCTTCCCGGGAAGTCTGAGCCCGTCTGTTATCCCAAACACAGCAGGGATTGATGCCTGTGGAGAGGGAACAGCCTGGGAGACCCCACGGGGCTGTTTGGGGATGCCCTACAAATCCCAGCTGCTGGAATGCTGGAATTCCTACAGCAATCCCTGCCGAGGGTCAAATCACCCTCAGCACAGCCCACCCAAGGGAGACGGGGCACAAATCCTTGAGCAGAATTCCCTGTGGCACCAGGAATCCGTGTCACCCCTCTGCATCCTGGAGCAGCCAGAAGAAGCAACATCCAAACCCAGGAATTTTGGGAAATTTGGCCCCTGTGGACAGAGGGATGGCTGGGGGAGAAGATTTGGATCACGAGAGGAGTTTCCCAGGATAAAAGCCACCAGGGATCCAGTGCCTCAGACTCTGGAATGAAGAATCCATGGGGGTGAAATCAGTGTGGACGAGGTTGAAACCCCGAAGAGGATGGGTTATTTGTACCCAGGAAAGCCCTGCAGGTTCATCCCAGCTCCACTGCAAAGGGAATATCCAGCCCCGAGCTTCAGGATGCTGTCAGTGATGAGCAGTGCCAGCATTCCCATGGCAGGATCCATGCCCCACACCATTCCCGTGCTCTCAGACACCCCAGGACAGACAAACCATCCTGAGGGGAGACTTTCCTCACAATCCCATGGCCACAGGGCCACTGGAGCCACCCCTGTCCACCCCACAGCGGGATGTGGGATGAACTGCCAGGACGCTCATCCCGCGTTCTCCAGGATCCTGCTCCGTAGGGATGAAATCCAGCAGGGCCTGGCTCTGTCGCCTGTGTTTGCTTTTGGGTTGGAATCTGTTTTCTTTGGGTTTGAGCGTTGTTTCCTGGTCAGCCGTCGCTGCGCCGGCGGGAAGCGGCACCGGGAACGCGGCGCAGGAGCTCCCGGAGCTGGCAGAGCCACGGGCGGGTGTTTGCTCTGAATTTTGGGTTCCTGGAGMTGCCAACCCTTCCTGCATTCCCACCTGCATTCCAGGGATCGCCTGGGATCAACTCCCTCCTCCTCCTGGACAGAAGGAGCTGCCCGTGGATGTGTCCCCGGACAAACGGCARATTTGTCTCTCCTCCGTGGAGATTTTCTCCAGAGACACCTGGGAAATGCAGCCACTGGTGCCCTCTTCAAACCCAATTTTGGGGTGGAATCTGCTGCTTTTTATTGAAGGGGTGATGCCTGTCTTTCCCTCTGCCATGTGGAGCTGCTGGGACAGGATGGCAGGAATTATTGAAGGAATTATTGAAGGAATTATTAAGGAATTACTAAAGGAATTATTGAAGGAATTGCTAAAGGAATTATTGAAGGAATTACTTGAGGAATTATTGAAGGAAATACTTAAGGAATTATTTAAGGAGTTATTTAAGGAATTATTTAAGGAATTATTTAAGGAATTATTGAAGGTCCAGTGGGCTGGATGGGGCACAGACCCCATTCTCATCTCACCCAGCACCCTGGGCTCGGCAGTAACGTCACTTCAGCGGGAAGATGTGGGAATTCTCCCTGTCACCATCTCCCTCTGGACTCGGGCCAAGGAAAACCCCGCTGTGTCAGGAGCCAGCAGTGAACAGCAGCTCTTTGTGTCCCCCGGAACGCTGGGACAGCCCAGAGCAGCTCCACAGCCTGAGCCTTCCTCGGGATGGAGAGGAAAAGGGAATTACAGCAGGGAAATGTGGAGAGGGAAGATCATCCTCCTTCCCGAGGAGGATCAGCGGGATGGGAGTGATCCCATGGATGTGGGATTTGCCTGCCCCATCCAGCCTTTCCAGCCCCTCCATCCATCAGCATCCCATCCCCAGGGATGCTCAGGGATGCTCCTGTTCCTGCAGCTCCTCCCAGCCCTCCCCTGCCAAAATCCCCGGCACAGAGGGAGGTGTGGAGTGCTGAGGATGCTCCAAGCCAGGGCTCAGCAGGGATTTGGGTTTATCCCTGATAATCACCGTGGGAATTGGGATCTCGGTGCAAATCCCACTCTGGGTGTTATCA